CCCCCGAAACTCCCCCCCCCCAAACTACGGGCCTGTCACTGAATGGGTCATTTACATCGCTATACTGTCTCAATGACTTAGTATTCTCGACTTCTCTCCGTAGGATTCATTCGTAACACGTCATGCGGTGGTACATTTACGTCACTGAATGGGTCATTTACATCACCAGACTATCCAAGTGAATACCCAAATGACTGCAACTGTCAATTTCTTATCACACTACCGTTGGGGTATCACATACAGGTATGATAAATATATTACATTAGATTTGTTTTTATTTTTGCTATAACATGCTGTGGCGTCATCTGTCGATGGTTATGTCAACGTTGACCTAATTTGCATACATCTCTAATCATGAGTAAGTTTGATTATTTTGGTTGAATTGCTAGAGATAAAACGACGTTGTCACAATCAACAAAGTGTAATCTCATCTTTTAGGTCATGTGACTCGACTTGAACATTTTCATCTCGACTATATCTTTGAATGCCATTTTCTCACTAATATTTTGTCATTTTTAGTGATTTTTTGATAATTTTGTTGCTAATGGTCTTTATCAAATTGTTGGAAAAATATGAAAACAACTATGTTACTATGGTGTTTTAATTTGTGAACGTGACAACAATTGACCTTTGCGCTAAAAAGGTTGAGTTAAACACGCCACTATTTTAATCAGTACATGACATATTGCCGGGCTGTTGTGCATTGCGTCCATTGTACTTTACTGTTCGTTGAATGTACTTTTATTTCATTTTATTTTATTCCAGTTGTTATTCGTCGATTTTTATGTTGAACCTGACTATGACTTTGTATATGTATATGATGGTGCTGACACTAGTGCTGACACTATTGGTAGTTACACTGGATCACAATCGTCGCTACTGATCACGTCGTCCATTAATAATCTATTTATAGTATTTGAGAGTGACTCTGCAGTCAGTTACAGGGGCTTCACAGCTTCTTATACATCATATAGACAAGGTACGGTAAATACGGTTCATTAACCACGTGACCTGACCTGATCTGAGAAACCATTCGGCGCAGTCATTCATGTTTTTTGCTGGACTTTACTTAGTATATACCCTTCTTCACATATTTGTAATATGGGGTAATACAGTAGCTAAAGCATAATTGTGATAATAGCACGTGTGTAATGTTTTCAGAAACAACGCCAGCTAGCATCCCTCACACAGAATCCGTAACAACGCCAGCTAGCGTCCCTCACACAGAATCCGTTTCAACTTTACACGAGAACACACATAAAACGACCAGCCCAAATACTGCCAGTCACGTTACAGAGAGGGCGCCCTGCACGAATGACCAGTTCACCTGTGAGAGTAGCAAACTGTGCATTGCGACGTCATCGGAATGTGACGGGGACAATGATTGCATCGACGGGTCAGATGAGAGGAACTGTTCACTCACTTCCAGTAAGTAGTTGCTTATTTTGTATTTCTTCGTTTTCCGTATGTTTTTCGTATGTATGACGATCTCTAAATATATGAATTTATTTTTGTGACAAATATAGCCTTCAAAGTTGTTCATCTATTAACGTGATACTTTTGTGATAATTATTGATAACAACAATTATGATATTTATATTTTAATTGCAGACATTATCGTTCCCATTATCACCGTATGTGGAGTCTCCGTGGGACTGGTTATTGCTGTTGTACTGTTTTATTGTAATTTTAAAAAGATAAAGTTAAATCGAACGACGCCCTCGCCCCCAATCGCTGGACCTCCAGTCACTGGTTCCAAAACGTCATTAGGCATGATTGTCATCGATTAGTAGACCGCCATTCACTGATTACAGGACACTTCGTATCGTTGTCGTCTATTCACAATAAGAGACTTGTATATGAGCTACCTTGTCGTCAATTGCACAGTATTATTTGTATTCTTCAATGATAGAATGAAGCCAACCATGGACTTGCTCACATTGTCAGAAGTTAACGCAAGTGTGGGTTAGATAAAATAGTTTGACATATCAGCATTACCGCAGTTATTCTCAGAATCTCAGGAATACAGTAGTACGGGAGGTCACATTATATATGTTCAAGTACGTCATCGCATTACACCAATTTTCGTCGCAGTTCATATATATATATAAGTCAAATTATTGTGCAATATCGCCATTTATTATGACATTATGATCATTTATTTATAACACTAGTAAATACAGTCTCACTTAGTGAACATAGGGGCATGTACTAAACTGTCATGTGACCGTTACGCATTGAAACAACTTAGAACAGGATATCACGTAATCAACCATCTGAATCCCATATATAGTACAACGTTTGTAATCATAAATGATTAACATAATAATGCACAGCCATGATTATTTGGGTAGTTTTCAGTTTTCAGCTACTTGAGGGTCACCATATTGTTTTATTGTAGTATTACGTTTTTTTCCAGTACTGTGGCCAATATTGTATATTGTTTGAATGGCGTATATTCCCTGTTTTTCTATGTACACTTTATCCTATGTGCAATATATTACTAGTATTTAATTATTCTAAGTAACAATCAAAACTACAGTATTATTGTTGATTTCAGTATTAAATGGTGATTTGAATCACTGTAATCAAAATAATTATTCTTTATTTATTAATTTATTAATATTTTGAATGTCATTATAACTGTCGTATGTTTGTAAAGAAAAATAAACGATTTCTTCATAACTCAG